ATTCCTCTCTCTACAAATACCCTAACTTATATTTAGAAGGAAGGCATGGCTAGCAAAAAAATTTTTCAGAAAATAAGTATATTTTTGTTTTATGTTTTTTCCTACCAATCTGGAAATACCGAAGTAACTAATAATATGTATTTATGGGGTAATTTTTTTTTTTTTTCTTTGAGACAGAGTCTCACTCTCTTGCCTGGGCTAGAGTGCCGTGGCGTCAGCCTAGCTCACATCAACCTCAAACTCCTGGGCTCAAGCAATCCTCCTGCCTCAGCCTCCCAAGTAGCTGGGACTATAGGCATGTGCCACCATGCCTGGCTAATTTTTTTTTCTGTTTTTAGTTGTCCAGCTAATTTCTTTCTATTTTATAGTAGAGACGGGGTCTCGCTCTTGCTCAGGCTGGTCTTGAACTCCTGAGCTCAAGCAATCCTCCCGCCTCGGCCTCCCAGAGTGTTAGGATTACAGGCGTGAGCCACTGCACCCGGCCTATGGGGTAATTTTTAATCCATGAAAAATTAATAGTGTTCAACAGGAGGCTAAATGAAGTGGTTTCCAATATTGAATGACTCTGTGCATAAATACTGTATATTTTACAAACACTTAATGACAGCGCAAAAAAACATACATGTGTATCCATGTCCTTCACCATGTCAGGGAACCAGAAGGTTGGGGCACATGAATCAAGTCAGATACTGTTTTAGAAAACAAAAGGATGCATATAACAGGTAAGCGTTTTTCCATCTGAGTCACCTGTAAGCTGCCTTAATCATGAAGCCTCATTTGCTTAAGATGTAGGACATGCTTGGTTCATCACAGCATTATTAAAGAATTCAGTTCTTCTGTAGATCTCATTTTGGAAGAAATAAAGCTATATCTTTCATTAACAATTTGCCATTTTCTCTACAAGCAAAGGCCGCAAAAAAGGTGTTACAATTCAGTAACAAATGTGCACCCTTACAATTATGTATTAAAGTTGAACAAAGTCAGGTTGAGTTTAACAAAACGATTCATGTAATGTAGAGTTTAAATGTATCAATTTTACAAAAGAAATTCAGTTAAGATTTGGAGGGTCTAATCCTGGTTTGATAAACAGTATTTCTAAATGACTGGGAAGCTTTTTGAAAAAAAAAAAACACTTTAAACTTTGTTCCATGTATACATTTTTTTCCATCTTTCCCCAAAAGAACATTCCTAGAGCACAAAATAGCTTCATAATGGTTTAATTAGATACATTTTATATATCCTGAACATAACGGCTCCCATAGAAATAAACTAATATTTTGTACACAAACTTTATTTACTGTGCCACATTCATAATATACTGGGCCAAGTGCAAACATGTATTACACCCCTGGTGTGTGAGGAGCTCTGCTCCCACAAACACTTCATTATTTACGATGACAGAGAACAAGATGAGACAAGATGGATAATTAAAATCCACAATGTAACAATGAAAATGTATTTTAGATTATGATTATAAACTCTTCTCCAGCCACAGCTGTAACCAGTACTAAGCAAAAACAGTTAATCAGGTTTTCCTCCCTAAATTCAACCCTAACCCACTGCTCCTTGGGGCAGGATCTATAATAATTGATTAGTGGAATCGCTGAAAGGCATGGAGACAGAATAATCAATCAAGAGAAGCAAAAGGTATAGAAAGTTGACCAATTAGCATCTCTGTATTGAAAATCCCTTGGTTTCTCTTACCTAGAAAATTACACTGCTTTTTTTCCACGTATAATTGATATGTACCATTAAAAGTTAGCTTAAATGAGGTTTATTTTTACAATTGCCTGGAAATTAGGGGGTATTTTAAAAATAATCCATAAAAAAATGACTGAATTAAAAAAGAACCAATAAAATAACAGCAAAATCGGAGAGTACATTTGCACCCTGAGTGGCAGCAGACGGAATCAATTAGTTTCTGTCGGCATCTACAAGTGCTGGTGTGTGTGCCATTGATGTGGTCGGTCTAGCCCAGAACACAGAATCATGGGCACTTATTACTGCTGTCCTTAATGGCCACCTCAAATGAGATGAAAGAGTTTATGAATAAACTAAGTAAGAAGTATATAGACATATTCAGTCCTTCTCTACCCTAGATCATTTTAGGAAAACAATTTGGAAAGCGCCCCTTTTGCATCCATTGAAATACACTAAAAAAAAAAAGTGCTCCAGGCCGGGCGCGGTGGCTCACGCCTGTAATCCTAGCACTCTGGGAGGCTGAGGCGGGAGGATTGCTTGAGCTCAGGAGTTCCAGACCAGCCTGCGCAAGAGTGAGACCCTGTCTCTACTAAAAATAGAAAGAAATTAGCCAAACAACTAAAAATAGAAAAAATTAGCCGGGCATGGTTGGCGCATGCCTGTAGTCCCAGCTACTTGGGAGGCTGAGGCAGGAGGATCGCTTGAGCCCAGGAGTTTGAGGTTGCTGTGAGCTAGGCTGACGCCACAGCACCCACTCTAGCCCACTCCCAAGAGAGTGAGACTCTGTCTCAAAAAAAAAAAAAAATGCTCCAAATAAAAAGGTGGATATAAAATCCTAAGGAATAAATCAGGTCTTATCATGAGAATGATCTAATAATTCTACCCTCTTGCTGTTTTGTCTTGAAAGCCCAAATACTACACAGATAAATATTCTAACAGAGTTAAGTCTCATAATTTTATAATCGCCATGTCAATAAAAAGTTTTAAAAAAGGGGGATGAGGCCATCACACCGATATGAATATTTGACAGGGGACATTAGTGAATTGGATATTATAGGAGTGGTATCTAAAACTGAACTGATCACTTGAAATATTATTGGAATAATCAGGATATCTGAATTCCAAAAGAGATTCTAAATCTGGGATATTTTAAAATGTGTTGACTTTAATTAATGTGACATTTTTCTCATTCTTATCTTGAAAGCCTAATCAGTTTCAGGTTATGTCTGACCAACATTCACCCACTGGATATGCAGCATGAACTTAACATCTGGTAAAAATCCTCTCTACTATTTTTTCTTTTTCTGAATTATAACCAAATGCTAGGTATAGTGTTTGCTTCCATAATAGGTCTTGGGTCCTCTTTTGCTGCCTGATATCATCTCCGTTGGTCACCTGATGCCTCACCTTCCTACTTCTCCACTTGTAGTACCTTTACTTGGCACGATTCTTTTCTTATATTTAGGCTATTTTGGGATGTTCAGGGAAGTGCTAGTAAGTACAGACCAGAACCACGTTAAATAGTATTTAAAGCTTTACCAACCATAGAACAGACTTCTCTGAGGCAGTCAATACGATTCTAATTAAATTCTAATTAAAATTAAAGGCATGTATCTCAGGATGTCGATAAAAAGGACGTCAAGATGAATGAACAAAAGAAGAATCAATATCAAGGGGAAGATTTTATTACCACAAGCCAAGCCACCTATAGATTTCAAATGGGAATGAAACGAACAGGGTGGGTGTCGCTTAAGAGGAATGCTTCTATCTGGAGATGGATTAGGGAATTTACCTGAGAATGAAATTCCATTCTAAACTAATGCAAACTGTACACATAGTGTATGACTCGGATGAAAGGAGGGATGAGTTTTAGGATCGCTAAAATATTGCTCCATCTAGTGGAAACTTAGAGTTTTTTTCCTTATGCTCTCAGCAGTTTTTTATTTGATGGTGTATCAGCCATTATTAGGATGCTAATAATGCCGAGGAGAAATAACATTAAAATCAACACCTCATAACAAAATGTAACATGTCAGGAACGTTGTTTTCAGAGTTTAAAACAACATTTAAATTCCAATGGTAAGAAGCTAAGAATAAAAATCTAAGAATAAAATACATGTAATTTTATAATTCTCTAGGACAATCTCTAAAGAGATTTTTTAAAAAACATACAGGCATTTATATAGTCATCTACGTGCAGAAACTTAGGAATACTGATGCAAGTTTCCTACAAAAGCCTCTGTATAGTAGTGGAAGAAAATAAATCCTGAAGTATGCGAAACACATTTTTGGCCCCCCCTTTAAGATGGATAAATTCCTTAGCTTAAGTTTTACATCTCTGCCAATAGCAAGGTAAATGCTTAATATGTAGTCATGTATCATATGGAATCACTTCATGAAAATTTGAAATATGATTTTGCATAGAATTCATTTAAATAATGCAAATAAGCTACTAGCATTCTTGCTTCTGTTGTCAGTGGAATTCGACTAGCGCCAGTGGGGTGGGCATGGGATAGATTGTGGGTTACATTGTGCTTCACTCAAAACACTTACATTTACGGTACTGCTAAGCCCACAGAGGAATTCCATATGCTTTTTGTTATTTCCTTTTAAAGCTCTAACACTGATGACAATTGTCCAAATCAAATATAGATTTTGCCAAATAATAGGGCACACTGAGGTTAGGTGGAAGAGGGATGGTTTATCATCTGGACGCAGGACAGGAACTTAGAGAGCAACGTGAATACAGAGGTCTACTTAGCACACCTTTTCCTTCTTGCGCTTCAGGCATATGATAGAGTAACTGACCTATCAAAGTAAAGCACATCTTGTTCATTATTCCAAATCCATTAAAGTTAGTCTCATCATTGTTCTATCCGAGAAAGCGAATCATGCCATGATTCAGAAAATCTGTTCTTCACATAAACCTATGAGCACACATTTAAAAAATGATTTATTGTACATCTTTGCATTTCTTAAGGCATGAACGATGGCATACAGATGGAACAGGATCTGAGAAGCATCACGTCTTTTTTGACAAGGCCAGCACAAGCACAGCACATCGAGCAGACACACTCGAAGTCTGAGCTGACTGACTGCTGCGGCCCAGGAGCTCCTACGGTGAGGGATGGTGCTTCCAGACAACGGACTGAACACGAGGCTTATATGCTGTTTTTAACTCTCTCGATCAGCTTTAAGCACCAGTTACTATTTGTTTTTCTTTGCGAACTCTTCAGACTTTGGATTTTGTATTATGCTCCTTTTATTCTGCTTTCTGAGGAGGGTATGGATGTTTTTTTAAGGAATATGGTTGCAGCAAAACAGAAAGGATCCAAAAGTGGTTAGGGACCTTAGCTAATGCACTTCTGAAAGTCCGTTATAAAGATGAATAGAAAAGCAAATGGTAGGTTTTCAGTCGACCCAGAAACCACGCGTAGCTATAAGAAACATAATTGTGCATAGTTATTTATTCATTCAGAGTGTGATATGTGGCTAGCTCTATGTTCCCAGTTTACCAAAGAACAGGGCTGTCTACTTTGCTAAACCCAGGGTCCTTTCGAAGCTCCCAGTAGGTGTCGTTAGAAACCCAGGCTTCTCTTTGATTGGCATCAATAACTTTTCTGTGAAAATGAAAATCAACATTAGCCACAAATCACATCAAGGTGACCCGATAATTGGACCCTCTCCTATAGATTAGACATGTATATATAAGCATTGCTTTGTAAGCCAGTTAGTGTCCTACCTGCTAACTATTGATGACTTGACTATTTTTAACCAGAAAGGAATTCATTTTTCTTCTTAAATATTTGAAATGGAAGTAGGTAGGGTCATGGAGAGAGGAACTGAGGGCAGGAATAAATCACTTCCAGGCAGGGGTAGAAAGTGAAGAGCCCCAAACAAGGCGTACACAAACACTGTAACTAAAAGCTTCCGACTCCAGACCCATGAGAATAATCTCTCCTTCCCTTGTCCTTACAAGCACGCAGCATCAGTGGCTCTGAGAGCCTCTGCAGGATCCTTCCAAAGAGCACACTTCAGACATCTGAAGGGCAAGGCTTCATTTCTGCCCCAGGGCAGTCATGGGATGGCAAGTCTAAAGGATATGAGGTTACTCTAAGCTTTTCTGTCCTGGTTCTGGAGGGCAACAGATGGATTTGGAAATCTCAGATTAATCTGCATGATGTATATATAATCCCACAAATAATCCTGTAATAATCACCTACTATCATACCACAGAGAGACCAAATCTGAACAGACGCAAGCTTTGTGTGATAGAAATAAAATTAAATCCTAATAAATCTTGTGGGCAGTGGGGTCCCATTCAGTCTGTGGCTGAGGGAGTGGAAACCAGTCCCCACCATTCTAAAGGGTGCAGCTGAAGGACAAAAAGCCTTCTGGACAAGACCCAGACTTTCTTTTCCTGCCCACAAGAAGACAAGCTGTAGAGAAGAATTTCTTTTTATAGTTACTTTTCACAAGTGCAAAATCTGCTTCAATATTTTCACTGCCAAAAGCAAAGTTACCAAAATCAGTTTAGTTTTTCTACATTTAAGTTCCTTGGACTCCAAACTATCTCCCATTTTCTTTTCATTTACCTGGAGTTTCTCATTGTTCGTGGCAACCATTTGCAAAACATGAACTTGTTATGAGAAGGAACTGACTTACTTAAAAAATTTTGGTATATGTTCAAGATTGTTTTCTTCCATGTATCGTCTTCGAGATCTCTGGAGTTCCTCCACTCTTTGCTTCTCTGCTGCAGCAGCTTCTAAATTTCCTTCTTCCAAAAATCTAAGCAGAAAGCAGTTGGTATTTTAATCTATTACCCTCTTTTCTGAGAAAAAAAATCTCCTGTGCACAAAATTACATTCTGGTTGCTATGAACAGAACATATGGCACGTTAACACTCTGGCAATGTCCCCTCACCTCTGCCTCAGGCCACACTACTTCTTTCTGTCCATCAATCAACATGCTTTCTTTTACATGATCTGAACTATTGTAATCAGCAATATAATACAACAGTAGGAGTGAAAGGTAAGTGGTTTGGCCTTGAAGACCTTCCTGTGCTGTCTGGAGTTCTACAACTTGAGATTTTCAGGATGACTGCAGTGCCCAGGGTTAGAACAACAAGAAGTCACAAGTTGTGCTTCTTTTCCATATTATGAAAAAGCACTTGTTAAAGGCCATAGAAAGGAGGATGGTAACTGGCTGTTCTCCATCTATTTTGAGAACAGATTGAGAGGGATGGAGCTTTCCTGTTTTATTGGAGAGAGTAAAACTGGTGAAAAAAGAAAAGGTAAGTGGGAAAATTACAAAAGGGCACAGAATAGGAAATGAATAGGAAATCAAATTCACAAAGGGAATTCTGAAATAGAATTGAGAAGGAAAATGCAGACGTAATGGTGATTTACAAATGTTTACATTTTAAAACGAGAGCAAAAAACAGGGATATGATACGGCGTACATTGTATAGGAAGTTTATTGATAAATTTGCATGTCAGACAGTGAGACTGTTATGTTCTAGAGAGAGAGGGGAAATTGAACAGTCAATACTGAGAAAATTTTGACAGAAGACAGATAAAGCCATAAATACATGGAAAATAGAAAATTAGTATTGTATGGCATATAGAACTTTTGGGAAAAGTAAAATGAATTCCTAGGAATACACATCATGACTTCAGAACTACATAATAAGAAAAATAAGAATCGGAAGGTATTAAGGGTATGGTATTTTGAGTACATCTAACATCCTGTGGGGTCAAAAGCATATTGGGAAAACTACAGACTTTCACTCAAAGCATTTCTGGGTGCTCCTGTAACTTATCCTGTTATTTTTCAGTTTAAAAGATACTCCATGTTACAGTTGTAGAAGTACAGAGGCCAAAAACACTGAGTGATGAGTGATCCTAAATTTAATGAAGAATTTACGAGTTTGAAGAATTTACGAGTTTGAAGACTTTGGTAAATTTTTTGGGGGAGGATTAGAAACTTTCTGTTAAACAAAATCTGTGTTATCTTCTGTGGGGAACTTTGTGTTGAGATAAACTTCTGTTACAGTCATCCTATGAATTCTGCTTTACATAGAGTGAATGTTGTTGAGTGAATAAGGGAATGGAAGAAATGACTGAATGAATAAGTGATGGTGGTGAAAATAAGTCTTGATGATGTCTAAAGCCCCACGCCATGAGCTAGTCTACATCTTAAATACCACTGCCATCCTCACCTTTGATCTGGCCGAAACCGGGCATCTGTTGGTGGAAGGAGATCTTTTAGTACGGGATCTAATTCATTGAGCTCAATGGCAAACCTCGTGAAGCCATAGTAGAGCTCGTAGTTAGTTGGCAAGGAACCTGGAAGGAGACCAGTGACCACTGTGAGAGGAAAAAGGCTTACAGAACTGGAAGAAGCTGATTTACCTTGATGCTTAATTCATACCAGCACTAATACCAAATTTGTAGTCATAAACACTAGATTATACATTTTTTCAAGTGAATTAAATTGGCCATATTTTGCTAGGTGGGAAACTTTATGTTGATGATCAGAACTGATAGATTTAGATACTTCATAAAATCCAGTTTTTCAAACAAAACTTTGCACACAACAGTAGTCTTTATTGGCTAAATGAATCCATAATTTTTCTCTCAAGTATTCAATTGGGTAATTAAATGTCAGGGTGATTAACTATGAACATTAAGGTTTCACCAGAAACTCTCGTTATTTACTTCCTAGTAGAAAAGAAAAAGATGCAGATCTAAATTAACATTTATTGTTCCTTTTTAATTAAACTTGAAGGCAGGATCTTTGTGTGCCTTGTTCAGAGAGGTATTCCAAGCCTCTAGAACAAAGCCTGGTGCACAGTCAGTATTCAATAAATAGCTGCTGAATGAATGAACTAACCACTCTACTAGCAGGAAATTTAAATACTCACTGATGTCTCTTAGGAAATCAACAACTAATTTTAAAATTAGGGATTAACTGACAATATTTCAATGAAAATAAATGTCACGTGGAGACTTGTTTCATTTATACTTGATATTCAATTACATGCTAATGTAGTACCAGAACTCTCTTCATGTCTTTTATTAAATGACAACATACTGCAGCTTTTTGTTGCTCAATGAAAAAAATCACTTATTCTGGTGAGTTACTGAATTTGCAGATTATAGATGTCTACAGGCTTTCTTGGTTTTTATTAAGACAGAAAATAAATAACATGAGAGAGGATTTAAGTTTATGTATTTCAATTATCTAAATTCCTTAATAAATACACCTAGCTTTTGAAATGTTGGTGTTACATTTAGAGTGATTTTTGACTCTCTGACCATGTCAGGGTCCTCATGATAAAATGAGGCTCAACCTCTGACTACCCACCAGAGGTTTGGTCTAAATTTTCTTATTACTAAATATCAAATGTTGGGACATACATAACTTATACATTAAGTATAAATGTAACTATAATTGCCTTAAGCATCTACATCTTTAATCTCACTATTAAAGAAAACATAATGTGAACAGCATGGGACGACGTGACATTTCCTTTCCTTCTGTTGCTCGTGGTGCCCTCCTGATTCAGGACACTTGAGCCATTCTCACCTGGTCTCCAGATGCACTTTGCAGAGGGGGCCACGCCGCAGTAGAGCCCTTCGTGCCACTTCCCAAACAGCCGGTGCACCACCTTCCCCTCCTGCCCCATCACAGCCCCCTGGACTTCATTCACGTTAGAATTCCAATAATTCACCTGGGAAAACCAAACCCCAATTAAGGCAGGTGATTGCTTTAATAATATCAATCCCTGTAATTTCCATACAGAAATTTTTCTTAACAGTGAAGTCCCTCATTTGAATCATTTCCATACATCTATCTCACAATGCTTTGTATGGAAGGTTGGCCTTCTAAGTATCAGTCAGTTTAACTTTTAAGAAAGGGATGATTTCTACTCCACGCTATAGCACGGTAGCATCACACAGAGAAGGCTCAGTTTCTATCCTAAGAACCTAATATTAATTTATAGGTTAATAATTTTTCCTTAGATTCTCTCATCTTGGATTTTCCCCTTACTAATGGATTTTAATGAATTTCAATTGGCAATGCTGCAGAAATAGTTTGTGAAATAATTTTCACAGTATTTGTAAATGGCTACATTTTTATCACCAGAACCCTGCGGTGGCCCTCTACCAGCTATGCTGCTTCCCAAAGGATGAGAAGTTTATGGGAATTTGCCTACCTGGACTCCATGACCCCCCTTCCAGATCAGAAGGGACCAAGTAGGCAGGACCCTAGAATTCCCTGGCCAAAAGGCTCTAAAGTTATTCCACAGCTGGCACAGGGTTTTGATTTATCTACCCAAAGGCAGACCAGCCACCAGTGTGTGCACCTTTAGGTCTGAGGAGCAGCCAAGGGTGGCTGTTCGTGGGGTGTGGACAGAGCTGGATGTGTGAACTGGATTGCCTACGTATATGTGTGCGAGACCCCTTGCAGTGCAGAACACAGCCAGAGGTGGGAAGAAAGCAGGGAAGGCCGTGGGCCAGGACTGGTTCTCCTGCACTGCCAGCTTCCCAGCGTGGAGTTCTAAGAGATCCAGCCTGGACTTGCAGGTCTTGATATGAAAGGTATTTTTGTCAAGGTGAAAGGACAGAACATATTTTATTTGACAGTTTGTAGGCTTGATTTATATATTTTAAATATTACACAGACTCTGCAAATATCAGGGGCAGGCAGGCACTGAAGTTTCTCATAACCTACAAAACCAAATGCACGTATTTCCTGTCATCACCCAGCCAGAGCACACAGCGATCCTGGCTATTTGGCTCTAGCCACCTCATCAGTCTATAAGAAAAAAATAATGGGCAACATCTTGAGCTAAAATAAAGACATTTAATTGAAATGAACATGACCTTCCAATATGGCTTAAAAGGATTTATCTAAGAAAATATTAGAGTTTTAAGACTCCAATATGTGACCTGTTTACCATATTAGAATGGGGCCACAGGTCAAGAAGACACGGGGGCTGAATGGGGTTTCTGTGCCATGTTGAATTCTGTAGCACACCTAAGCAAACATGGGGTGATACTGAATGTTCCACTTTAGGCCAGAGACATACAGGGAAAATGGTGTTCTGTAGGCATTTCTATCCCAAACACCTTTTCTTGTTAGCAAAGGTAATGCTTTTTGTTGAACTTACTTGGACTACAGTAGTAGCATGGTTGGATGAGTTTGCAGTGACTGGAAGGAATCACCTAAATATCTGCTCTCATCACATGTCCTCAGAGAATGACAACTGCAGTATAATTAGTTCCCTAAAATAAGATCACTTGAACATGTGATCAAGCAGAAATAGAAAGAGAAATATATACCAGGAGACTTAGCCTGGGCAAAAAGTGTTTTCTGGAATTTTACTTAATGAACTACTGACTGGCTACTTAAAAAGTCTTTGAAAAGAAATTTGTTTTTTTCTGTTTTGAGATGGTGCCTTTTCTGACCTCCACATCTTTAGCAGCCTGCATGCCTTGAGAAAGTCCACCAGCTCCTTCTGCTTTCTTATCTAAAATGTCTTAAGGACCAATGAATACAGGACAGATTCACTTGCTGCTGTTTAAGGTGACTGTTCTATTTCTTCTTTAGGAGGCACTTTGTATTATTTTTCCTTTACTGTTATATGATCATTTACCTTGACAAATGTGAGTTTGCAAATGCAAACACTGCTTCTGGTATTTCTAATGGTTACTTCTCCATAATGCTCTATCCATCTTCTCCCACTGAGGATGTTGTGTATGCATGTGGTAACTTTATTCCACACATAGTAATCTCCGTACCTAGTGAAGAATATAATTTTGATTACGAATAGTGAAGGTTACAAATACATATGAGTGTTTCTACTAAAAAGAACATTCTTTGATCAAAGCTTCTTTTTCCCTCATTTTCCTCTCCTTTCTTTTTTTTTTTTTTTTTGAGACAGAGCATTGCTCTGTTGCCCTGGATAGAGTTTAGTGGCATCACCATAGCTCACTGCCACCTCAAACTTCCAGGCTGGGACTACAAGCAAGTACCACCATGCCTGGCTAATTCTTCTGTTTTTTGTAGAGATAGGGTATCGCTCTTGCTCAGGCTGGTCTCGAACTTCTGAGCTCAAGTGATCCTCCCGCCTAAGCTTCCCAGAGTGCTAGGATTACAGGCTTGAGTCACTGTGCCCAGCCCTCCTTTCTTCTTGAAAGTCTCTATGTGGCCACAGATATTTATGACATGATTAATTTACTTAAGGAACATTTAAGTGCTTTTTATGGGCCAGGTGCTAAAGCTACAAAGTTGAATAGGGCCTGTTTCCTGCTCTTCTGGAGCCAAAAGTATGGTAGGGATAGATGGATATGTAAATAAATACTTAAAATATGATGAGTGCTATAATAGATGAATGAACAAAGCATCATGGGAACACAGAAGGAAGAGTCCTGAGTCCTTAGATCTGCCTGGAACATGGGCTGAGTGTTAAAGAAGATGTTGTAGAGGAGGTTGGGTTCCATCTAAGCTTGGATGATGGGTAGGAGTGCACTACCAGCCAGGGACAAGCAGCCATAAAGCCACACAGGTCAGAAGAGCACAAGGCATCTGGAGCCTGTGAATGTTGTGCTCCAGGTGAGTGAGCGTGGCCGGAGGCAAGGCTGGAAAGGTGTGACGAGGCAGAGCCCGGAAAGCCTTCAGTGACATATCAAGGAGTCTATATTTACCCTGCAGGCAATGGGCCAGCATGGAAGGAAGCCAGGTGGAGAGAGGCACTGTTTCATACTTTGGTTAAGACCAAAGATGTGAATAATTCTTTGGGAAGAGACTGAGGAACATAACCAAGATGGCGCAAATCTAATGCAAATTTTGGGCAGTAAGGTTACAGAATTCTTGCCAAGGAATGAAATGACATAGCTTCAAATCCCATTTAAGTTTGCACATTACATATATTTTCAAATAAAATGTTATTTTAAAATAAAATAAAATGCTTCAAGTTTCCACAAAATTTATAAATCAGTATGATGTAGGCATCTTATACATCTAGGAAAACTCTCTTCCCCATGAATTTTCAAATACCGAAGTTTATTTTATAGTCCTGAGAATACTTCCCTCTCTCCACCTTCCTGCTTATCTGGTCCACCAGCAAATTCTGTTACTCAAATGGACAAAAACAAAACAAAAAACCAACAAAACGAAGAAATACAAACAATCAAGCCCTTGGCCTCAAAGAAAACTTCAATTAATTTTAAAAGATTTATAGGCCATATCCTCTAGAACACAACTATAAAAGGATTCCACCACTCTTCTTTGATAACATGACTTGAAATTTAAAATAGTCTCCAGATCTAAGATGAACTCAAAAAGTGAAATTATAAATTGTATAGCAAAGCAATTAAACAGGGGAACTTTCATATAAAATGCAAACCAGCATGGTGACGGGGACATGGTAGGTACCTGGTATTGACTGACGAGTGGAGGACGTGAAGAGATGAACGGGAAAGTTTGACACGTGCTAAAATTCTCATTTTGGGGGGGTGGGGGTGGGGGGAGTTCTCAAAATTTTGGTGAAGGTAAGAGAAGCTTTGGGCATATAGCGAAATGGACTCTTGGCAACTTTTAGAGTTTAAAATGCTATTTCTGATTTAGAAAAGCAGAGAAGAGGCCAAAAGGGAGGAGAGAGCCACTTACTTTGGAAGCATGACATTCAGTGTTCCCACAGGCAGGATTTCCATTGACTTTCCCCAGAACTTGTTTTTCCATCTGATATCTAAATGACATAGGCAGAGGACAAGAAATATACTCCAAATCTAATCATCTGTTCTGTAAAAACTAACTTTTGTATTACATTTTGCAAAGTGCTTTTGTAATCACAATTGATTCTACATTGTTGATTTAACATGACAGATGCCCGAAGATGGCCCAAGGTGAAAATATTAACTGTGAACCAAGAAAATGTACTATCTGTGTTTCTCTAGAATACATACTCCATATTAGTTTTCAACTACCAAAACTGGGAGAAACCTGGAATAATGTGTGTATATTCACATACACATATAAACCTAGACTCTACTGTGCTTTAATGTCTGAATGGCAATAAATGTTGTTATAAATTTTAAGTAAATGTTAAAAATAGTTAACATATATATAAATCATGAGGTGTATAGTAAAAATAATTGCAGTATGGCAATATCATTGATTTACATACAAATTCCCCCCTCCAAGCTGTATGGAAGAGTTATATGATTTGGGAAAACAGTAAAAAAAAAAAAAAAATAAAGCCTCTTAATACAGATACCTAAGATTTATGAAAAAGTAGGATTAACTTAATGAACATGTTCCTACGCTAGTTATTCAGACACAGCCCAGGGCCCAGCACTTTATCTCACATGATGGCTTTATGTTTTACTCGTGGAAACTCAGATTTACCTGCGCATTTGTAATAACCACCTGGTCCCATTTTGATGAACTAAGGGAGCTTAGTGCTGTCTCCACAAAATTTCTGACTCTTGGTTATAACTAAGAAATGATGTACTGTCTTATTTTGCAATAAAGTACAGACACGGCACTCTACCATTTTGTGTGTTTTCAGGTTAAGGAAATGCTCATGAGAAAAGTCATTCTGTGAGCAATGAAGCACCCTTCCAAACATGCACAAACTATTTACACTTAATGACCAAATTTACATATATATTCTTTTCTTTCTAATGGGGTTCTGAAACTTCTTATTTTAGGCGAACTTGTAACATTCTGACTGAACAGTAGGCATTAATAAGTGAAGACTTCAATCCAAACCCTGAGTCCCAGTGAATGAAAGACCAGGAATTACCACAACATTTATGCATCTAAATAGATTATGACCACAGAGGATGAGCCATAAAGCCTTCCTTCAAGATTAAAATGTCTTTGCACACCCCCAAGAGGCAAGAAGGCAGCAGATGGAACCTCCACATCACAGATGCAGACAATGAGGCACCATGAGACAAGGTGACGGCTCCGCGCTGGCACAGTCAGCAGGGAGCTCTGCCATTCCATAAGGCTTTGCTTCCTAGATAAGCAATCTCATCTCCTAGATGGCACAGTTTCATATTTAAACCAGGAAGTGTAATTTCTCAAACCGAACTCTGTACCAATTACCAACATTCTGAGTTCCAAAGGTAGAAATCTAAACTGAGTACAATGTACCTTTGGAAGCCAGACATTTTTCCATAGGCTCATAAATATGATTTTAAATTATAATTGAAATACAAACCTTGCCAAAACACAAAGTTCTTTGATTCACAGTGACAGGCAGAAATGGGTGGATGATGGCTAACCTGGTAATTAAACAAAAAAGAAGGCAATGACATCAGTGTTAAAACTTCCATAAATGGTAATTATTTTTATAATATGTATTGGTCATCCCCAATAAAAACTACTATTCATCCATTTCTTATTAGTGACTTACTCTTAAAATGTGTAAGTATATCTTTAGCTTTCAAGACTTCATGCTTAAACACAGAGAACTTACACAATTTAGAGGGTGCAACGATACCGATAAGCTAAGTAAGTTTTCCATGAACTAGTATCATAACACGTCCCAGTTATCAAAAGTCTGTTTTCATCACCAAACTGCTTTCCTACCTATATAGAACTCTCACTGAGTCCAGTTGCACTTACCTGTTCCGAGAAAAATCGGAATCCCTTGTCTTCTCTAATGCATTCATAAGTCTCCCCAAGCACTGGGTTGAATGGCTTACTTCCTGCTCTGAAATAGGTGGAGCAATATCCTGAAACTGCAAATGCAGCAACGAGAACCTGTTAAAACATTGAAGAAAGGAAAATAATATAGGGGACACTACTGCCTGGTCTGTTTGTCCCTTTTTCCTCTAGATTTTATACACCCCACATTGATGGGTGTTGACTTGATGGCATTTGCATTTTCCATTTGCACAGCATTGCCATCAACACATGGAAAAAAACAGATAAAACAAGGTTAAACTACCTGCATGGGGACCAGCAGGCCACTGAGGTCAAGTGTTCTTCATTTGTATGTCCACCCAAATCCCTGGGTATCACAGAGTTCAAAGGTTCTGAAACCCAGTTTCTAGGTTTCACGTGCACAATCTTAGCATCATGTGGAGGGGGGTTGTGGCTGCTGGTGCTTTGCAGAGGACAGGGCAAGGTTTCCACAGTCACATGGAGTAAAGGGCAGAGTACAAACAGGAAATGACTTTCTCAGACCTAAGTTCCTGAACAGATGGGCTATCTTGGCATTCAGGAAAAGCTGATAAAGCAGGGCAAGGCATGAATTAAACCTCTAAGGAGCATGATGCCTTTACATCCTAGCTTTAGAAACACTCTAGACTAAGGATAACCACAAAATGTGTATCTTCCAGTAAAGGTGTCTGGGACTTTTGGGCCCTGCCTGATTTATGCAAACAGACCAATTCCTCGCTTACCTATGCAGTGAGAATGCTATGCAAAAACCATTTCCAGAAGGAAATGAATTCTGGCTTAGCCCAGGTCTAGGGTTGGCAAATCCCCGAAGGGCGCTTCTCTTTTATTACCATGCGCTCGTATGGATCATCGGTTTCCGAAGCCTTGTCCAGAAGCTCACTGTATTCCATTTCCTCGCAGAGATGCTGCAGAGTGTTGAGTGGCTCGTTTAGCTCCACTGGCATAGAGACTTTGGATAGGTCTTTCCCAATGTTGTTCCTCAAGATATTCCACAGGTTAATGTTACTGGTGTCAGGGCAAGGAGCTGGCAGACACGTTCGACGTCCGTTTCGGAAAGCCCCTCCTGTAAGCTCCCCGTTCAGGACTGGAAGAGGGAGAATCACAAGGAAAGATGCTTTTCTGATTTCATAAAATCAAGAAGGGAAATAACTCAAATAATTCTGATTGTGATACATTTCCTGAGCCTTCATTATATTCTCTCAAGAGTAAATGGAATTATTTCAAACAAGGTTACTAACAAACACACAAAACATCAGTGTACAGCGTTTTTTTTTTTTTTTGAGATGGAGTCTTGCTTTGCCACCCTGGCTAAAGTGCAGTGGTGTCATCATAGCTCACTGTAGCCTCAAACTCCTGGGCTCAAGCGATCCTCCTGCCCAGCCTCTTGGGTAGCTGGGACTACAGGCGCATACCACCACGCCTGGCTAATTTTTTTATTTTTTGTAGAGACAGGGTCTCGCTCTTGCTCAGGCTGGTCTTCAACTCCCGAGCTCAAGTGATCCTCCTGCCTTGGCCTCCCAGAGTGCTAGAATTACAGGTGCAGGCCACTGTGCCTAGCCAGTGTATAGTTTTTTTAAACAGGTGTTAAATATACTCAAATATCATGCAAAAAAAGATAAGTCAAATTTAAAAAAATTAAATCTGTTTAACAAGGATTTAAACTTTTGGTTTGAGCAAGAGATAAAACTTTTTCACTTAACCATTTACCTAACAAAATTTTCAACCATTTACCTCAACAGATTATACAAAATTAAAATTCATTGAATAATCAACTGCAAAAAGAACAATTAGTGTGTGTACAGGGAAATGCCCATTCATTAAGTCACCAGTGTTGTAATTTGGCATGTAGATAGAACAACCTGGAAGCTCAAATGATGCATACTTTGCCGAGAAATATTGTCCGCAACACTGGTGTTGTCTTCAGATATATTATCACTCACATCACTGATGTAAGACTCATCATCTGAAGCCTGAGGAAGGGAAGAACAAGGAACATACAAGGATCAGAATTCTCGTTCAGTCTTGAAAGCTCAGATAATCCAATGATACAACTCCAGTGAAAAGCAGAGGTCATAGTGGGAAATGTATTTGGCAAATGTGCAATGAACACTTGAGGGTCTTGCGTGAGCTAGGATATAGGATCGCTAGAAAGGAGCCCTGGTCTTTAAGTAACTCCCTGTTTTAGTTGGGGCAAGAGGCTGGGGGAGGCCAGTACAGACCCAGAAATATTTCAGTACAATACATGAAGAATGCTCCTAAAAGAAGACCCTATGACTCTGCCCAGAGAAAATAATATTTGAACTGGCTGTTGGAGAATGAATAAGAGTTACCAGTCGTTAGAAGAGGGAGAAGCGCAGGAAGAGGGGAGAGTGTGCAAAGGCAAGGATCACACAGGGAAGCATTTATCCCAGGAGTGTGAAGATGTTGCGCGTGGCTATGACAGACAGTGGGGAGCTCAACTGTGAAGGGCATTTCATGCCAACATGAAGGGTCCACGTACAATCCTATGACTTAGCAAAACCAACAGAAATGCAGGGAATACGGGAGTCAGATTTAGTTTTCAGGAAGACACTTAGAGGAGTTCCTTAGGGACACCAGGTTACTGCCTAGATTCCAAGTAAGAAATACTGACAGCTTAGATTCGGATGGCTGCAGTGAGCACGGGGAGAGATCAAGAATTAAGCCATCTCTGCATGAGAAAATACAGAATTAAAATGAAACCAAAATTAGCATAAGAATAAAATTAAGAAACAGTGTACATACTAAGGGGAGCAGAAACAGAACAGTTAAGAAAAGAGAGGAATAAGATAGAACCAGCAGAAGAATGGGAAAACCAATGTCTCTCCTGCAGGCAAGAAGGCTGTTGAAACTTACTTACTTCCTTCAAAATGAAAATAGAGCTATATTTTTTCTGAACTTTAAAATAAAACATTCTTATTATAAAACATTAAAAATTACATGAGGGTAAACAGATAAGTAGGAAAATCACCTGTAATCCCATCACTCCTAATGTTTTGTAAATGTTATCCCCCAGTTTTGAAATGCCTATACACACATATTTTGTTTGTTTGTTTGTTTGTTTGTTTGTTTGTTTTTGAGACAGAGTCTCACTCTGTTGCCTGGGCTAGAGTGCTGTGGCATCAGCCCAGCTCACAGCAACCTTAAACTCCTGGGCTCAAGCGATCCTTCTGCCTCAGCCTCCCAGGTAGCTGGGACTACAGGTATGTGCCACCATGCCTGGCTAATTTTTTTCTATATATTTTTAGTCGTTTGGCCAATTTCTTTCTATTTTTAGTAGAGACGGGGTCTCGCTCTTGCTCAGGCTGGTCTCCAACTCCTGAGCTCAAATGATCCGCCCGCCTCGGCCTCCCAGAGTGCTAGCATTACAGGCGTGAGCCACTGTGCCCAGCCTATACACACATATCGATATATCTATCTTTAGATACTGAAAAAGGAGATTGGTTTATACATTGTTTTATAGCATTCTGAATACATTTCCATTATAGTAGACATAGCTCTTCATCTTTGTTTGGAAGAGCAACATAATTCCTTATACAATTACAGCAAGGAATTTGACCAGAATTTAAGTGACTTCGCACTTTCTAAATTATATACAATACTCAGATGAACATCCTTATAAATATATTTTTGGGAATCTACCTGGCGATATCATTACAATTTATTTCTAGGTCAAATGGGTCACTTTGAGACTTTAGTCGCATGTTGCCAAATTTCTCCCTTAAAAGATTGGATGAGTAATTTGTTCTTTCCAGCAGTATATGGGAACATCCGTCTCTCCACATCCACTAAAACACTATACATTATAATCTTTTTTTAGTGTCTATCTACCTAATATACATAAAAGATCACTTTAAAGTTTGGATTTCATCCTTTGTGAATCATTTTCTTATTTTTCACACATTTTCCAGTTCATCGTATATATTGCTATTTTTCCCAGCTTGCAATTTATTGACTTTGTTTATGCAAATTTTTTGCCATGTAAAAATTTTAAATTTGTATGTAATAAAAACAATTGATCTTTGCCTTTAAGATTTTTGGATTTATTGCTAATGTTCTTAAAATTAGGGTTGAGAAGAATTTATTTAGGGAGAGTAGAGCAACAGAATGATTGCATGCATGGATGAATAATGGTAGTTTTGCTTTTGCACACAGAGTAAGTCTACAAAAATGGCAAATTGAATATAAAATCTTTTTCTGATTCATATTTTCTCACTGCAACTGGTTCCCACAATTCCCATTGAATGCAACAGATCTGAAGTTTAAATCACCAGACTCAAGAAACCCGACTTTTTAAGTTTAACAGAGAAAAAAAATAAATCAAACTCTTCCCTGTGACTTCTCTGGAAAAAAGCTAATCATACTCAATTATGTTTGAGGAGAAAAATGTTTACCCAAACCAAATTTATGTTGCATGCATGCTTAGTATTTGAATGTTTGTTAAGAAAACACTCATGTTTATCTTACAAACAGCTATAAACCTCTATCTATTCCTCTTCAATTTTTAATCCCTCCTAAACTAATATATCACAGAAATGATCTGATATCACTGTAAAAGAATTCTACAGTGACAGTGGGCCCTGAGTAAGACACATACACATTGTGTGTGTGTACAGTAACAAAGGTTGGGCTGTCTTGCTGTGGTCCAATCACACTTCCTTGTACATACAGCCAAGGCTCTGTAATATTATAATAAAACAATTTGTCTTCTCTCCCATGATGAAGCAGCCCTGGAGCCAAAGAGTTCTCTTTACAAACTTAGGGATTCAAAAGACTTCAGAAAATATTTTTTTTTCTAAATGTGACCAGGCATGTAGCATTGCAGAAACAAGTTTAAAAGCAGAAGCAAGGCAAGTAGATCATCTTGGAAGCAAGAAGAGCATTTTTTTTTTTTTTTTAAAAGAGCTGAGCTTTCATTAAGTAAAGTGCATTGGTAGATAACACATAAAAAGCATTTTCGGGCTGGGCACGGTGGTTCACGCCTGTAATCCTAGCACTCTGGGAGGCCGAGGCGGGTGGATCGCTCAAGGTCAGGAGTTCGAGACCAGCCTGAGCAAAAGCGAGACCCCGTCTCTACTAAAAAATAGAAAGAAATGATCTGGACAACTAAAAATATATATATAGAAAAAATTAGTCAGGCATGGTGGCACATGCCTGTAGTCCCAGCTACTTGGGAGGCTGAGGCAGGAGGATCGCTTGAGCCCAGGAGTTTGAAGTTGCTGTGAGCTAGACTGACGCCACTGCACTCCGGGGCAACAGAGTGAGACTCTGTCTCAAAAAAAAAAAAAAAAAAAAAAAAGGATTTTCGCTCAGTTATGGAAAATGTTAATGTAAGACAGCTATTGCCCAGATGTTTCTGTTCTAGAGCTGGAGACACCGTGGTTAAAACTCTGCCTTCATGAAACTTACACTCTAGTGGGGGAGACACACAACAAATAAAATATACGAAATATATATTTTGTTAGATAGTAATAAGTGTGAAGGAAAAAAAAATAAAGAAGGAAGGATATAAAAGGCTAGAGAAGAAAGGCAAATGGTAACTCTAAATTGTAGATGGGGCAGCCAGTGTATTTTTTCCAGAAGGTGACTTTTGAGTTAGGGACTAGATAGAGGGAGGGAGCTGAACATGTGTATTTTGGGGGGAAGTGCTCCCGCCAGGGTGAAGGGCAAGTGCAGATGCCCAACCTCCTCGGCAGCTGTAGTGTAGAACCTGCAGCTTGTGCCTACCCTGCAGCTGGTGCCAGGACTCGCACATGTACAGTCAATTGCCAGGTGGGGGATTGGTGTGAAGACACGAGGGGCTTTCCGGGGGACCTCATCACAAGAGAACCCTGTAACCAGACCTTAGCTGAAGGGGAGCAGCAACTCTGAGAACACTATGGTGTCTGTCATTTGGGCTTATCTCCTGGTCTAGCACCTTCAAATACTTAAGACCGAGTGTTGTGATGGAGAAGTTGTAAGTTAAGTAAAAACAATTATTTTATGAAAAGCTGTACCATACAGGGCACGAGGAATGGCTGTGCAGTCAGTGCTTTCCAGTGTGGGCTGCAGGAGTCACTCTCCTTGCTACAGAAGGGACACAAGGCGTCTTTAGCAAATGGACAACTCCAGGAGTCATTCCTTTGGCTGCTGGAGGGCTCCAAAAGAAGAGAGGTGGCAAGAGGCTGCAGCTGACAGCAGGGATCAGATCATAAGGGTCTTTGTTTTAACAGCTAAGGAGTCTAGACTGTTAGCCTGAGGACACTGGGGAATATGGACATGATCACATTTGCCTTTCAGAAAGATTTATCAGGTTGCCCAGTGGAAAATGGATTGGAGAGGCCAAGACGGGAAGCCGGAAAGCCAGTTATGGGACTGGGAGGGTGACCTAGGCATGGAGAAGATGGAGATTGGATTGGAGCAGAGGCAGTGAAGCTGCAGGAAAATGTACGTGTAGGTGACAGAAGCTACAGAATCTGATGAGTGAACCGAGGTAGGTGGTAGTAAAGGAAAAGAAGGAGTGAAGGAAAATACCCAGGCGTTCGATGTGAACACTGGGGTACAAGAACACTAAGATAGGCGATATGAGAGGTGAGGCAGGCTGGGTTTCTTTCCCCCCTGGGGGGGGGTGTAGAAGAGGCTTGTTGATTAACTCTTTTCTGGATATACCGAATTAGAAGGTTCTGTGAGCACCAGGTGGCAATGTCAAACAGATAGCTGGTTATGGGGTCCCAAGCTGACTCTTTCTCTTTCCAGACCTGCTCTGTCCTTGAGCTTTAGGCTTGACTATTCAAATGCTCGACAGATAACTGCACTGAGAAGTCTGACAAACTCGTGATGCCTCAAAGTGAACGTATCATCTCCATGCACCCCTGCCCTATGCCTCTTCATCCTCACTCTGCCGCCAGGTTCATTCTCCCCCACTCCTCACTCCACCCCCAGGGTGGCACTACCATCTTGCTGGCACTCACGCAATAACCTGCTTCACATCCTCTTCACTGCTGCATCCCCAATGTCTAGGGCAAGTGGTACCTGGATGTGCTGGTTGTGCCCCAAGAGCTTGGAAATAGGAAAATAAAGTTGCTCTCCAAGAGATAAGCTCTTAAGTCATCAGATGACGGGTCAGAGCTCAGATAATATGCAGTCAAGTTTGACTGTAACCTGATAGAAGAAGGATGAAGGACTTGTCAGGAGAGCTCAGAAAAGCAAATTCTGGCAGCATGCTCACAGCATGGTGATTCCTAGGGGTGCATGCTGACAGTCACAGATACCCAGGCCACGTGGCAGAGTATCCCTGCGATGGAGAGGGAGTATGGAGCTATAACATTTTGGCCCTCCTACCCTTAAGTTTGTTCAACTCAGTTCTCCTGTTCCCATTCCTTGCTCACCAAGCAACCTGCTGACTAGAATTAGAATTTGCCATGCAGATTTGCCTACAGGAAACAAGGCACTAACTAGCAAGATGATTATTCTGTCCACCTGACAGTATCAATTGTCATTACAAATAATTAAACTAGCACTCTGGCCTGTGAATGGGAGTCTCTGTAAACCTGTTAATGCCTACCTTGGGATCTGGAAAGCAGGTGCATGCCTTGGTGTGCTGACAAATTCAGTACAAAAGAATTCTATTTTACTTTTTTCTCATTATAAAAGTGATGTGTATTCATTATTTCTTTCTCATTTCTGCTTTATGTTTGTTTCTAAAATCACTCACAATTTCAAACATCCAAAAACAACTACTACTAATTGTCAGGATGTTTCCTCCCAATCTATTTTCTATGCATATGGAAATAACATTCAACTGCTATTTCATTTCTTTTTTGTAAAAATGCAGTACAGATTTGCAATCCCGAATGATAAAATTCCTAATCGGCTGTGTGGGAAAGGGTTTTGGCTGCTTCCCTCATGCATGGGGAAAAAAAAAAAGCTTAGACTTATCCACTATGCAATTCAGCCATATAACAAAAATCACTTGTAGTCCCAAATCTATTTTAATAAAAAAATCAAAATGTTCTTGACTAAATTTCAGTAAAAGAACTAATTTCTGCAATGTGACCAAGGAAGAGGTTCCCTGTTTCTAAGACCTTGCCAAGAATTATGAACGGGAAGAATAATCCAATAAAGTTTTTATGATAGCCAGAGGCTAACCTCTAACCTCCAAAATCATAATTACTCAAGTAGACATATGCTAGACATTATCCTTCTAGGCTTGAATTCATGTCCCTGGCAAAGATATATAATATTTATGTGTCTGTGTGTGTCCATGAATAGTGATTTTCTAATCTTCCTATTCTTCTACATTTATTAGTCAGCCTCCTTCTTATAAAGAACTCTGTCACAAACTATTTGGTTACCCTGAAATATGAATCATAGAAGACAGTCAGAATAAATGTTTGGTTCTTTCCCTTAATTCATCAAATTAAAATTCTTTGTGCTCAGAAGTGTTAAGAAGTGCTCAATAAATGGGAATCGATATAGTTTGCATGTTTTTAGCATTGCCACAATTTGGGCATCTTATTGTGATGTAAACAAACAGACAAAAACAACAAAAAGTTTCCACAGTCTTATTTGCTTTAACTCGAACTCATAGTCACAAGCATTTGAAGCTGACAGGTCAAGGAATCTTACCTCGTTCTCAGACGAACTTGCAGAGAGGAGCACCTCTTGGGCGTCAAAGAACTCAGAAACAGACTCTGACATGGAGAGGCGGCTCTCATTGGCTACTTGCTGTGACAGGGGGAGACTGACATGAATTTGCTCACCAGCCTGCAGGAGAGAGAAGTATATGGTGTTACCATTTTCTCTTCTGTTAGAATAGCTACTCCTTCAAATTAGCCAGATCTCTAGTCTTTAACATTATGTGTTAAAAGAGCGGTGACCACAAGTAATTTTCACTTGCAACTCGGTAATGATCACTGCATAAGTTTCCTTCCAATATGTCTAAAGACTCCAAAACGCATAGTTCAGAGATGCTGGTACCGTGTCTTGATTGTAAATCTATGCTCAGTTGATATTAAGTGGAATTTAACAGGTTAAGCTCCGATTAATACTCTAAATTGATTATAGAGACACATTCATTCTCTTATTCTTAGGCCTGTCATTGCTAGTCATATTCTAACCAATGCACTAAACCTCGAGATGTATTTGTAGAAACTATGAGAGACATGCTAAGAAAACAATCTACAAGACTAATTTTTTTTCATGCAAACATCTGAAAGCTGGGAATATAAGACCAATTTTTGAGACAGAATTTATAAAAGCCATTTTCCAATTTGATCATGAATTTTAATCAATGAAACACATGACTAGAGTATTGAAACTTATTTGAAATTGTACTTTTATTCAATAAATGATAAATATTGTTTTCAAGGAAGCTATTTAAGTTTCAGTCAGAAATATATGTAAGAGAACTATAATGTATGTACTCTAGTGTGCATTTCAGGTTGAAAAGATTTCAACTGAGATTAAATCATTTTCAAATGACAAATTTTACAACTACTTCTAGACTCTGGGCAGTTGAGTGACTGTAAGTGTTACCAGAGAAAATGGGGCCAATGGAGGTGAATGGATGTAGGGTAGCCAGCTTAAGTCAAAACTTTAAGTCAAAGATAAGCTGTCTTGTTAATAGAATAATATTTCCTAAGCAGTTTAACCTGTGAACCTGTAGATTTCTAGTGAAATGTATGTTTTTGGTGTAAATATTACTTTAGTATTATTAATAGTTAAAACTCTCATTATATGTACCACTGTATATAAAACTCTAATATTACTGTTCAAAAGTATAAGTTCTCATGGCTATAAAATAATAATTTTAGAAAAGGTCATAAACAGAGTAATACATTTAAGTTTAGCCCAAACACTGAATGTTCTCCTATTCTCTTACTATTTCTTCAACCTGAAGAATGGAATAATAATATCGCCTACCTCAAAGGGTTGTTGAGAATGTCAAATGAGACAACACATGCAAAATATTAATAGTTAGCACAATACCTAGCATATAGTAAGCATTCACTGGACATATGTTAACTATGAATTACCATCACCAGCAGCAGTAACTGCAGCAGCACCATTAGTATTAGCAAGGTCAGGGGACTTCTCTCTCTAGATACAGCTTTCAAAACAAACCTTAAGAAAACTTTCGTTTAGCAACTTCTCAGCTAAAAATGTTTTTTATAAAAACATTTCATTGGGCCAGGCGCGGTGGCTCACGCCTGTAATCCTAGCACTCTGGAAGGCCGAGGCGGGCGGATTGTTTGAGCTCAGGAGTTCGAAACCAGCCTGAGCAAGCGCGAGACCCCGTCTCTACTAAAAATAGAAAGAAATTAATTGGGCAACTAAAAATATATAGAAAAAATTAGCCGGGCATGATGGCACATGCCTGTAGTCCCAGCTACTCGGGAGGCTGAGGCAGAAGGATTGCTTGAGCCCAGGAGTTTGAGGTTGCTGTGAGCTAGGCTGACGCCACGGCACTCTAGCCTGGGCAACACAGTGAGACTCTGTCTCAAAAAAAAAAAAAAACATTTCATTGGCCATTTGATGATAATGAACATTTCAAATGAAGAATGAGAAAGACACAGAAAATTAACAAGCTGAAGTAGATATATAAATATTGGATGGCATCAGGTGAACATAGGAATAAATAAAAATATTAATAGACACTGATCACCAAGAATAAATGATGTCAAACTCACATACATCCTTTACTTCAAAGTGAACTGTCAGCAACAGAAATATTTATGGATAGAATCATATTAACAGTGAAAGAACCGTATAAAAATAAATAAAAATATGCAGCAGATTTAGATGCCATAAAATAGGTACTCTACATCTATTAAAAATGAGTCTTACCTCATCAGGGCTAGGAATAATATTTACACTGACAACCTGATCACAAATAATAGACTCTGAATGTATTCTGTTCAACCGACTCCTTAGCTCAGCATTCTGGTTGAGTGCCTTAAAATAACAAAAACCGCACATGTAATTTCAAATTAGTAAATAAGCATAAAACAGAACAAGCACAAAAGTACAAGTTGGACAATAATGTCTGTGATGCTTTTAGCTCTGACTTTTGGAATCATCATGAGCCAGATCCTACCAATAAGAAGAAAACAAATGGCTCAGAACTAAAGTATTAATTTTTTGTAATATAAGATCATTGTTTTGTACATTAGTGGGCTGAAACTATTTTTCATAGTTTTATGAATTGTTTCATAAAACAATTTCATAAACAATTTATGAATTGTTTCATAAAACAATTTATGGAATTTTCTCTTCCTTAGAGTCAGGCCCATTACATCCAAGCTCAGTCTACCACCACATATATATTACATTTTGTAGCCTGGGATGAAAACTATTGATTCTTTCAATTTTTTTTTTTTGTTCAAGTTTCTAAAGTTTGGGAGTCATTTCAAAGCCAGATAGTTACCTTAAAAACTATTTGGAAATGGAATGAACAATGAACTGGTTTTAGTTTAGAGAATTATATTTTAGTCTGGTTAAAGAAAATAGCTGTATTTTCATTTTCCAGGAGCACATAATTAATACATATGACAATGCAGCAGAACTAACTCAAGTATGGACAAAAAGGTGTCTTCGCTGAACAGTATAGACATTGACAACCATAATAAAGAATGTAATACTAAAAGCAAACTAATTCCAAGTTGTCTACATCACATTACTTTCAACATACCTTAAGTTAGCACCAGTAAAACACTACTTGCTATAATACAGTTTAGTACACGGAGCAACTGCATTTATTACAAGAAGAGAACAGCTTTACAAAAGCATGGCTTCCCTACAGGGGAAGGGAACACACAGGGAACCATGTGTTCCTGTGGACAAAGGAACAGTGAATCCTCCAGGAATGCACACCACATTGACGTATGGGAACATGTTCCATTTATATTACACGGATTTAGCTAACTAGAATTCTACCAAGCCTCATGTAAAAGACTTTTGTGAAGATAGTGACAAGATGGACAACTTCCTTTCCTTCTCATTAAAAGCAGCAATTGGTAAGATGGAGGCGGATGTTTTAGAGTAGAAGATAACTGTCAAGGCTTAGTAAAGAGGGCATCTGCCCCAGGGTATGGGCATCCTGCTTCATTCAGAGTCAATGAATACAGTAAACCAATGCATATACAAATACAATATCATAACTACAACTCTGTACCCATTAAAACACCCGGGATAAATACGAATCAGCTAAACTCTCCACCTGCGCAGACCAGAGCATACTCTTTGAGCAGGGAGCACAGAACAGCCTCTCCTCTCTCCTCTCTCCCTCCGGGTTCCCTCTTCTTCCCTTCGTCCAACTGAGCTTTTGCTTTTTGATGAGAAAATTATTCACGCGCAGCTTTTGGCTTTTGTTTAAAGTCTTTAGAGCAAGTTTGTAAAATATGTCAAATGATACACTCAATCTGCTGATGGATTAAAGGTGGATACAGATCCTGCAGTCATTACATTTGCATATAGGAGGAAATATGTCTCTGGCTATCTGAGAAAACAGGGATATGTTAGAAAAAAGAAGTGATAATGTTCTTAGTAAATAAACCGTGTGCCTCAAAGGAAGAATTCTAATAGCTTTTCATCCTACAAAAATACTCAGGATCATTTTTCTTAGAGCAAAATCTCAAACACTTAGAATTTGGAAAAAAAGATACTGCATCATTCTTATCCTTTGTGACTACTACAGACAGGCTTATTTGTTCATTATTTCCTTGCCTAGAAGTATATGCAATGTTGTCTTAGTTACTGAAATATTTGCAACCAGATATATTTTGCCACCATGTAAGTGGGAGGCCCCAGGGTAAGTTGTTCGATGGTTTTCATTGCAGAATCACAGTCTTTACCTGAGGGGTTTATGCAAACTTCAACTAATGGTTCCTTCAAAGTGACTATACCTTCTGTTGCTACTAGAACAGTGTGAACAAAACAAACCCACGAAAACTCAAGGGCAAGGATAAGTAATGGTCTTCTTCAGAGTGGAAATATTAAACATAGGTTTGTCATTTATAGGAAGGTTGCAGAGTTGTTTGCTCTGGATGTTTAAAAAAATTAAATTCTCATTTAAACTCCCATCTCATTCAATATTCATTAAATGTGATCCTGCCTACCTACAGGTATGTGTGAAGGGCACACAAGATAACCTCTAGCCTTTAATATCAACAGGAAATGAACTAAAAGTTGTTTTTTTACTGAGCATAATTTATTATTTTTCTTGGATGCGATGTGAAAAATAAAAAATCCTGGCCTGGGAGTCAGAGGATCAGGTTCTCTTGATCTCAGGACTAAGTGATCTTAACTATGTTACTTAACCTTTCTAGGCCTTGATTTTCTCAGGCGAAAAATAAGGGAGTTGTATCAGATGACCTTTAAAGTCTCTTTCAAATTTGATTAAAACGCATGGTCAGAATCTTGCACAGTGCTTCCTGGTTATCATTATGAAGATCAGCTACTGTCCAGAATAGTGTAAAATTAATTCTGGTTCTTGGGATTTTCTGATGCTTATGTTGGAGTTAATGAGAGTTGTCTATACTTTCAGGGCTGGGCATAAGTATTTGGTGTTCTAAGAAGAACATAATCAAGATACTTTTACATTATATGCGAAGTTTGCTTTGACATTCTCTGAGATAGTCTGGAGAGAGATTTTTGTCACCTATATCTTTACTTAACTCTATCGTTGTTGAAACCCTGTTCTCCTCTCAATTGGTAGCAAAAGAGTAGCATGGGAGTAAAAGAGAGAAATCTTGGTTAAAGTATTTCTTATTGAGATAACAAATAATAAAAGTATTTTTATTTTTAAATTTTTTTACATTTTCATTTTTTAATTTTCATTTTTTTCAAACTTCAAAACTAAATTTTTTGAAATGATTGCTAATACTTAAAAGCAAAGATCTGTCATAGTTTGCCACTATGGGTAAAGAATAATAATTTACTGCCAAAATATTAATATTAATATTGTGCCAAAATAGTTTGGTTCTATTTTAAGGGTATGATAATGCATTTTACTAGTTCTTATTTTAATCATTTTTAGAACTGAGACAAAAGTAGATAACTCAATTTTGCTTATGCTATTTCAAATCAGATGTTAAGCATGTTGAATTCAAAGCTTAAAGCTTAAAAGAAACAATTTTATTAATAATATATATGCAGTGGTAGAAAAGAAGTTGTTGTTGCATAGCACAGAAAGCATGGCTACCAAGACTGCTCCAACTCTGGCAACCTCAGTGGTGGACAGTGTAAGCCGACAACTGAGCATGCAACAGCCCATTTCTCGCGTCTTCCCTGGGCCCGCCCCTCCTTCTGCCTTGACCATACAGATAGTTTTTGAAGTTTGCTACAACCAAGTGCCATGAGTTTTGTGGTGTAGTGCTCTCAGGTAGTGCTCAGGACCACATTTATTATTTCCCTCCCTGAAACTCAATTATTTTCTCTGTAATGATATAATGGAAACCTTGGGAACACTGAGGAACTGAGGTATTGTCAGGGAAATGATGCTCTTAGTAATAATTACCATTAAAAGGCCCAGAAGATGGCATAATTAATGTAAAGAATATACCCAAGGAGAGTGAATAGCTGCATAGCAAAGAAAAGGAGGCAGATCACCATCACTCGCACCAGCCAACAAACAAGAAAAGCTATGGAGATACTGCTCTATTAGTGGCATACGGGACCAAAGCCTAAGAAGAAGAAAGCACCTTGAAGCTCGGAATTGTGCCTGGATTCTTCACTAGGCAGGTTTTGTGTGTTTTCTCACTACTTGCTTTAGTGAGCTCAGACTACACTAACATCTTCATAATGCAAATTCATTTCCCCATGCCCCGTGTTCCTCACACACATTCAAGTCTAATATGTCCGGGAAACACTCAATTCCTTTCCCATTTATCAAAGAAGTCACCATCTTGAAGATTTGAGCCAGAATCAATGACCTGAATCCCCTCCTCCTTACCTATTAACTATCATACATCAGCCCTGGCAGACAATTCCCTGGTGAGAATTTACCTTGGACTGGGTGAGACTCTGGCATAAACATTTTACTAAATGGAACTGCGGGTTATGGGAGGAAAACATGAAAGCCTGATGGAGAAGGATATGAAACATATGGCAAGATGGAATCATCATAAATTCAAACCCTCTGGATAAAAGCAAAACTGGTTCAAAAGGAGTGAGAAAATGAGTATAGAAATGATCACAGCTAGAGGTGTCAAAAACTGAATCCTGGGTATCTCTTTAAAATCACCTTGTCTTTTCAAATAAAAAAATACTATTATCATATATTTGGAAAATGCAAAAATTAGAAAAATATTTAAAAAAAATCATACCCAATTGTTGGTAGTTTGGTCTTTTTCATTCCAGTTTTTTCCTATGCATTTTTTTTGTATTGTTTAATGAGTGCACAGTTTACACAATGTATCTTCCCCTTATTCCTTGCACATAAACATTTATGTTTCAAACTCTTCATAAATATAATTTTAATAGTTGCATCATAAAAAATTATTTCCTATTATTGGACACTTATGCTGCTACTGATTTTTGCTAGCATAGATAATGCTGTCATGAGCATTTATATATAAAATTATTTTCTATATTCAGCATTAGGACGAGCCATATCAACAATTGACCTACAGGGTAAAAGGTTAAAACTTTTTTAAGGCTTTTAATAAATATTGCCAAACTATGTTCAAAATGACAGCAATTTAAAATTGCTAGATAGCTTTAAAAAAGATGTAAAGGATTTTATGAAGAATGTCTTTGTACACAAAAAATTTGGCCAAGTCTCAGGGAACTGTGGAATTTAGGAACAAACAAATATACTCAGAACTTTTGTCCTATCACAGAATATTTATTTTGGGTATGTGAAATGTTGTGGACAGGAACGATGACAGATACCACGACTGGGATTCTAAATTATGCTACTATGTGCCTTAAGCCAATTTTTTACTTACATTCTCATACATACCACATTTCATTGATTCTAAGGTGCACATTTTTCCTCACATTCAGTGTCTCTGAAGCACTGTCAGTTTAATTGACAGTAGTGTTTTTTTTTTCTTAGTAATGTACAAAATGAAGGCATATCTAACAATTGACGGCATCTCGATTTAATGAAATACAGTAATTCTAGCTGGAATAGATGTATCATATTCTGTTGCTCACATTTATATGGGCCCAACTCCCACTGCATTTAGTACAAGCTGTGCACAAATTCCGAGGCCAAGAATCAAACTGGTAACAGTGATAAACTATAATGTACTGAAGACAGACTCAAGTTGAGCTGAATCTTCCATTATTACGGTAATCTGGGGTTTGCCTTAGTTTTATTATATATCATTTGATTTTGGTGTTCAGGGTACTACATTAAATGGGACATGAAATTATAGCTGATGTGAAATAAAGTCATTTATAAGGGATAGATGTCACATAAAATATCCTGTCCTATAGGCTTGAGTCCAACATCTATGCTGCCTCTCAGGTGTGAAAGTTCATTCAAGTTTTATGGGGATAAAATAATAGAATTATGTATGTGTTTGTATACATATAGATCAGGGAAGTAATATTACTTTAGAAGAGCAATTCATACATTGTCCGGCCTTGCAAATTGTTACTTGCTCAAGACAGGTAGTAATTTATGCTGAGTATGTAGTGAAAAATGCTAATTTCATATATTTTATATGCTATGTGCCTTCTAAAAGGATGATGAAATTTGCTGAGTTGATATACTTAAAGCCTATTGAAAAGCAGCATTTTAATCATTAGACATATATCAAATAGGACTTATGTCAAATAAAATATAAGCTTTAAAAATGTTAGACTACTTAAAGAAGTTATTTAAATTCAGTCTCTCTCCCTTCTTCCCTCTGTGGGGGTAGACCTGGCTTGATAACAGGCCATCAGAAAAATATCTGGGGGTTTAACTGATGACACTTGAATACAGACCAAAGAGGTCTTATGCCACCTAAAATCACGATCACACTATAATATGAAGTTATACTCATCTAAAAACATACTGAGAGCATGGAGAACAATTGTCTTGACACATTCAAGCTATTTAGTACTTGTTCGATCTTAAGTGCTGCATTAAAAGAGGGACGGTGAGAATAGAGTTGGTGAACCAGGACAGCTGACTAGCTAACGTTTCCTGCCTTCAATGTCTCCTTGTCCTCTGGCTCCCTTTCCTCATGATATAAACATACTGAGATGACTGACAAATTCCAGGGTTGACTCTCAGTCCATATATTATTTGCTGCTAAATCAGATGCTGTAAACCTTTTCCTTCTTGAGACTATCAGATCTCCATCCTTGATCTCAATGGTCATCACTTCTAAATCCTCTGAGTCTCCATCAAAGGATCCTCTTTCTTAGCTTGTCCTTTAAATATTAATGTTCTCTAGGGCAGCATCAACACCGCTGATCCTCTTTTATTGGACTGAAAACACAATGCGTCAACATCTGTGACTTCCCTGATATGCTGGGATATCCACACTCTATAGCCCAGTTCTGTATCTTGAGCTCTAGATCAAAATATCTAATTGCCTGTAGGATGGCCCACAGATGCCTCCATCTCTACAAAAATCACTCAACATATACCTCTCACAAACCCGTTCCCCTTGTATTCCCTCTCCTGGGGAAAAGAACTATCATATACCCAATTATCCAAGTGAAAATCCTGGACTCTGTCTTCTTGTCCCTCTAACATTCAGTTGCTCTCCAAGCAATGCTCATTCTCCCTCCTCAGCATCTTTGAAATGCATCCCCTCCTCCCACCAATGTTGGCACTTCCTTAGTTCAGGGATATTATCTCAAACATCATAAAATATTCGAAAATTATCTTGAATATCATAAGTGTCTGCCTAACTAATCTTGCGTGAATTTCATCTACTCCCCATGCTGTACTAGAGTAATTTAATATGTAGAATATATGCAGTAATAGTTCTAATTTATGGCATTATCATTCACCAGTTAAAATCCTGTGAGCCCTCCCCATCACTGATAGGATAAATCTAAAATCCTTTTTGTGATCCCTAATGAGCTGGTTCTTGCCTACTTAACTAGCTACTCTTAGAATAATTCTTCCTTGTTCATCCCATACTTTAGCCACTATGAACTGCCTGCCATTCTCCAGGCATCTCTCCAGTGGCCTTATCATGGCTAGTGATTTGTTAGAAAGAAGTGAACTGCCAGCAAACCTAAATCCCTAAGCAGAGGCTGTGCTGACTTCCAAAAGGGAGTTCAGACTCAGAGGTGATGGGAATAGAGGCCAGTGAGGGTGCCCAATGGTGTGTGTGTGTGTGTGTGTGTGTGTGTGTGTGTGTGTGTGAATGGACACAAGAATGTGAACATTGCCAAAATGCTGTGATAATGCACAATCACGGGCACTGAATTCTCTAGAGGATAGAGTGCAAGTCTATTTGGGACTTAATAGTCTCAAATTATTTTTATATCTTTTGAGGATAAAATTGAATTTTTTGGCTAAAACGACTAAACAAGAAACCGAACAACCCAACAAAAATCTATTGACACTTTAACTTTAGATGCAAGTAAATATGTTTTGCTAAGAGGGGGAAATATTTTAACCTGAAGGTTGCATAGTTGATATAATTTTGCTTTATTATACTTTTTCCATGTTAGCATAAGGTCCTTCCACATGAGCTGCTGCTGTCTACTCAGGCCCAATTCAAGGCCCGATTCCTCCATGAAGCCTGATCTGCGGCTCTGCTCTCTGCTCAGGGATCTCCCATTCCTTTGAGCAAGAGTCCTGGGAATCTGCGCTCCCGGCGCACCACTCTGAATGGACTACAGTGTGGTCCACTTCACTGTTTCCTGGATAAATACTGCCCCTCTCACGAGTCAGATCATGAGCTTCTCAGGAACATGGCCAGGGCTACTTTTACCTTGGTGTTCTGCGCCTTGCGTAGTACCTAGTATACAGCCAGTTGAAGAAAATCCAGTGAATAAGTGAAGGAAAAAATGAATAACTGTTTTAAAGTTTCTCTTCCTAATCATTTCTACTCTCACCTGACACCCAAATCTAGATCTCTATCTGCCGTTCTCTGTCTTACCAAGGAGCAAATGAAAGGAAGCAAGCGAGCAGGAAGCAAACACATTTCTCTTATTTTCCTCAGTGCACGCTTTCATATCACTAAGCCTCCATCATCAATACATCTGAAGGACATGCGGCAGTGTTTAGGGGGACACGAGTGTATTTTACACGTTTATGAGATGACATCTGAAGGTTGACTTGGCCATTATTTTGATCTTTCTGGTACAGGATACTTTCAGAATAATGATTTGGAAGATCAATTAATGTCAACGTAATGTTCAACAGATATGTGACGTGAGAAGAGTTCAGGTAAAACCGTTCAAGTGTTCGTATGAATAAAGCCCTCTGCAGACTTGGCAGAACAGCAGCCACTTTTAATGCTCATGCTCTCGAGGCTGCTGGGTTTGCAGCTGGAAGCAGCTGGCAGTGTTTTATGGTGAATGTGGAAAGTGTGGCCCAGATAACAGCACTCCATAACATGAAACTTAACACTGCAAATATGTCGACAGTTCAGGTACATACAACATGGTGATACAATTTAAGTCTAATTTTTAGGGACTGAGGGACACTTTTCAAGGAGGGTCTGATCCACACGGAGAACCACTTACCCAGGATTTGCTCGCTCCTTCACTCTGATCCAAGGCACCAGGAAGTGAACAATATTTTATATAAACACTGAGTTCTCACACAAAATCACATAACAACATTGAATTCTCAAAGGAATTAAAATAAGTGCATTTATAGACTTACTAAAGAAAATATTTACTCCACATGAAGTACTCAGTGTAAAAAAGCATAAGTGTAGCTTTAAAGGGTTTTTATCAGAAATTTCAACTTTGATATTGAAATTTCAACATATATATACACATAATAGGGATCTGATTAGTACTGATAAGATCAATTATACAATATATTTTAAAATATAAAAGTCTAGCTTCAAGGAGCATAACTTAGATAGGAAGAAAATCCCAAGAGTACAAATTAGAAAAGAAAAAATGGATAATGGTAATCAGTAATTTTCAACAGATTAAGATGTAAGGGAAAAATATTAAGTGTGAAAGCTCTAGTAGGTTTTGTTCCATTTACCACTGGACTGAATATATTCTGGAACATATTTTGTATGTGTAAATCATATAAATGCATGGTTCTTTTTTTAAAACCAGGGGCTACCTTATAGATGACCTTAGAGAGGCATTAAATGCTCAATTAGTCAAAATAACAATTATATGCTTGCAAGCAAGTTTGGTTTATTTTCACTCTTACCTTGAGATTTTGGGGAAGAAAAGTAAGAAAATACAACACTGACACTGCAATGTCTTGAGAGAATTTCAGAGGACTGTGCCGTCCCTACGACTGATCGCCTCCTGCCTCTGCATCTTTTGTCTTACAGGGGTGGGGATGTGTCATGCATGTGAGAACATACAGTCTCGTATACCTGAGACAGTGACTGTCGGAGCCGCGCCATCTGCGTGCTGTGGCCTTTACTGTGATCCTGTTCAGAAACCATCTGCTTCAGCTTCTCCTTCTCTATAGCTATGCTATTAAACGCAGACTTCAAAAGAGAATGCACTGGGTGGTGAGAAAAGTGAGAAACAAATGTCAAATATAATGAAAAAGAACATACAAAATCATAAACTTCTCAGGACTTAAACTTATACATAGACATTTTCGGGAAAGGCAATGTTACAGTCTAATTAAAAAATCAATCTTAAAATGGAATCTATAAGAATATCTATACTCCAAACAAATATGGCCATGGTAGTTAATCAGGGTGAAAATTAAGGTATACCAGGCAAGCCAACATGGATTTGAAAGCAGCATAAAACATATCAATATCCATTCTAAATATCAGTATTTAGAAATTATTTATAATTCCTAGAAGGAAAGGAACAATTTTTACTTACCATATTTGATGGTAATATCTGAGCAGTTCTATGTAGCATGAAGTTTCATGCAAATCATTTAGAACTATCCAAAAATTATTTCCCAAAAGCATGCACCCAAAAAAAGAGCATTTTATGAGTCCTGCCAATATAAAACAGGCAGCTGTTCTAGAAGTTCTGATGAGTTGTTCTCTTGGAGGTGGGAAATGATTGGATTCTAAGAATGCCACTGGCATTATTCTCAGCCAGGAATATCCTGATGTCAAAGTGCTTAGATTTAAAAGCAACAGTACCCTATCCCTGCCCCCCATCATTTCCTACATACATACTTAATTAACAACATTAGTAAGATCTGAAGCAGTCTTTAATTTTGAACTACAAAATGAGGTGAAATTTCCAACTCCTATCTTTATAATAACAGTTTCTATAATACATAGTCTTCTAAAATAGGTATTTCCTTATTTGAGAAAGGTTATTTTTAAAAGAAGTGGAAAATTTTAGCACAAAATACAGTGGCTGAATTAAAGGGGAAAAATGGCAGGATCAGAAAGAATTCATGATCTATTGATTTATGTGCTATATTCTGTCGTCATCTATTTAAAGGTAACAGCTTTATGGCTGGATTACATTAACCCGGCTGGGAGCTCTAAAAGCAAACTTTTCACCCATTTTAAAATTCATAATGCTTTCCAAAGAATTCACTCAACAGTCATAGAAAAGCTCTTTTTCCTCTTAGCACAGAGAATTTGTGTGTTGGTTGAAAATATGTAGTTTCAGCAGAGGCTTTTTCTTTAAAAAAAATAAATTTTATTGTGTATATTTAGGGAATACAACACAATGTTATAAGACCCATATAGGGAGTAAAATGGTTACTATAGTGGATCAAATTGACATAGTCATCATCTCATTTAGTTACCCATTTTTTCCTCCCTGTGGCAAGAACAGCTATAACCTACTCATTTAGCAAAAATCTTAAATATAACACACTATTATTAACTATAGTCCTCAGGGTGTACATCAGATCTTTCAACTTGTTCATGCTACATATTTGCTACTTTGTATCCTCTGACCTACATCTCCCTTCCTACACTGTTTTATTTTCTATCTCTACATATTTGACTTTTTTTTTTTTTAGATTCCACATATAAGAGAGCTCACATAATATTTTTCTTTCTGTGTCTGGCTTATTTTACTTAGCATAATGTTTAATGTTGTGGAAAATGGCAAGAACTTCTTTTTAGAGGCTGAAAATACTATTCCATTGTATATGTATACCACAGTTTCTTCATCCATTTGTCCATTGTATGGGATACCTAGGTTGTTTCCATATCTTGGCTATTGTAAACAATACTGTAATGAACACGGGAGTGTGATATCCTTACCAGCTGGTGATTTCCTTTCCTTTGGGTATATGCCCAGAAGAAGGATTGCTGGGTTGTATGGTAGGTCTATTTTCTATTTCTTTAGGAATCTCCATACTGTTTTCCATCATGGCTGCACCAACCTACATTCCCACCAACAGTATTCAAAGGCTGCCTTTTCTCCACACCCTTGCCAACACTTGTCTCTTATCTTTTTGGGATAATAGCTATCTTAACAGGTGTGAGGTAGTATCTCATAATGGTTTTGATGTGCATTTCCCTGATGATTAGTGATGCTGAGTACCTTTTCATGTACCTGTTGAGTTGTAAAAATTCTTTATATAGCCTGGATACCAACCCCTTACCTGATACATGATTTGCAAATATTTTTCCTAATCCATAGGTTGCTTTTCATTTTGTTGATTGTTATCTCTGCTATGCAGAAGCCTTTTAGTTTGATAAAGTCCGATTTATTTATTTTTGCTTTTTTAGTCTGAGCTTTTGGTGTGGTATCCAAGAAGTCATCACCAAGAACGATATCAAGGAGCTTTTGCCCTATGTTTTCTTCTATAAGTTTTATCATTTCAGGTCTTATGTTTAAGTGTTTATCCATTTTGAGTGGCTTTTTGTATATGCTGTAAGGTAAGGGTCCAATTTCATTCTTCTGCATGTGGAAATACAGTTTTCCTAGCGCTATTGTTTCTTTTTGATGCCCTTGTTGAAAATTAGTTGACCATATACGTCTGGATTTATTTCTGGGCTCCCTGTTCTGTTTCACTGGTCTATGTGTCTGTTTTTATGCCAGTGACACACTGCTTTGATTACTATAGCTTTGTTTTGTAATTTTAAATTAGGAAGTGTGATGCCTTTAACGTCCTTATTTCCCTCAGAATTGCATTGGCTATTGGGGTCTTTTGTGGTTCCATGTGAATTTTAGGGTTATTTTTCCTGTATCTGTGAAGAATGCCATTGGGATTTTGATAGGGATTGCATTAAATTTATACATTACTTTAGGTAGTATGGACATTTTAACAATATAAATTCTTTTGATCCATTAGCATGGAATATCTTTCTACTTATTTGTGTCATCCTCAATTTCTTTCATCAATGTTTTATAGTTTTTAGTGCACAGGTCTTTCAATTCCTTGGTTAAATTTATTCCTATGTATTGTATTTTATTTTTTGATGCTATCGTAGTGGGACTGGGTTTCTTTTTTAGCTAGGCTTCTTTTTTAGCTAGGTTTTTATTTGTGTATAGAAATGCCATGGAGTCATACATGTAGTAAAATGGTTATTATAGTGGGAACAAATTAACATATCCATCATCTCACTTACTTATGTATTTTGATTTTATATCCTGTAAGTTTACTGAATTGATTTATTAGTTCTGATAGTTTTCTAGTGGAGTCTTTGGGGCTTTCTACATATAGGATCATGTCAATTGCAAATAGAGATAATTTTACTTCATCCTATCTGATTTGAATACCTTTTATTTCTTTTTCTTGTCTGATTGCTCTTGATAGTATTTCTAGTACTAAGTGGCGAGAGTGGGCATCTCTGTCTTGTAACAGATCTTAGAGGAAAAGCTTTCAATTTCTCCCCATTGATTATGATTGCGACCAAATACACAAAGCTTTCCTGGGGCTGCCTTCAAATTTATTCATCTCCCTTTAGCAGCTGTGTTATACTCACATACTCAACTCATGTATTTGTTGTCTCATTCTACCTGCTGTACCCACTCCCCATGGAAGTAGAAGTTACTGGCTGCAAATCTATGCTGTTATATAAACAAAATAACATTGCTCTAGTCTAATAACATCACTAGGAGTAAAACAACAGGTGAGAGAGAGTTGGCTTTACAGAATCGCAATTGAGAAATCTATTGAAGAAAAGGAATAAAATTATTTAGCTTAATTGTTTTAGTATAATGGAATTGAAGAAATACCTGCTAGCACATTTTTGCTAATGGTTTGAGATAACAAATTTTGGTTAAGTTCAACATTCCTAGAGATGCCTTCAGTGTGTCTCCTTTCCCTGAGCCACCAGGCTCTAGAGTATTAGAGGGCACTTGAGATGTTCCACTTAACACATATATTCAAGAATATTTCATAACCTATTACCAGCAGCCCCAGGGGAAATAAATGGGATGAATTTACAACAAGGTGTTAGTGACCAAAAGCAACATAATGTATATTTCTCTCCAGGAGATTTTAAAAGACAATGGCTGAGAAGGTACTACCTTAAGTCAAAAAATGAACTTCTGTGTCTGAAAGTTAAATACTGCAGCAGTAAAGGGGATGTTAATTTTGGAGTCAAGACTCTTCTTGTTAAACATAGACAGGATGCTCAGTCCACCATACTCTATCCTGCTTTTTATTTATCATAGTCTACTCTCTGTGGCTGATGATAACAATTTAATTTACACAACAAGACTTATTGAAAATTTAACATAAAAAAAGAGACTTAAAGGTGAGGTTGACTTCCCCTCCCCTCAAATCTGAACTGGCCTATGATGCTCTGACCAGTAATATACGTGCTGTGCCAGTTCCAGAGCTGGCCTTGAAGAGGACGAGCACCTTCCACTCCCAGTTTCTTGGAGCCCTAAGCTGCCATGGAAGGGGAGAAGAGCACAGTTCTGTGCATCCTTCCAGCTGTCCTGCCAATGTGCCAGGCACATGAGGAAAGCCAGTTTGGGTCTTTCGGCCCAACCCAACCTGTGGCTGAATATCAGTAAGTGAGCCTTGTCCAGGATACATGGCACAGAAGGTCAGCTGCTTAGCTGCACGCTGCCTGGATTTCTAACCCTCAAATTTTAAGGTACAATAAGTGAGTGTTGTTTAATTAAAAAAGGGAAAGACTCAAACAGAATCTATTTTTTTCCTTGCTAAGGATAACCAGAAAATATGTATTAAATGACAACTAGGAAACATTGAAAAAAAAAATGTTGAGTAGTAAGTAGTATCTTGCCAGATTGCCTAGAATAACAATTTTTGACTTCCCTCTCCTTCATAACACTTTATTTAGTCAAAACTGTAAATTGGTGATGTGTGTTCTCCCAACAGGCAGGCATCACATCTTGCTGCATTTTGTATATAGAACTCCCACCAGTATATGCAACCATTTAATCTTTCTACCATTACCACACTGACAAAGATAAAAAAACAGAGGATCATCTTTCATCAAAGAAAAGAGGTTCTTTAAAGGGTGCATATATTTGTTGTTACCTTTCTGTGCAATTAGACAAAATTCTTCTTGCAGCTTTGTATAATCCGTTGAACTTTCTAGAGGGTCAGTGAGATGGCTAGGGGGAGTCTGAAATTCAATATCTGCACAAAGGTTGGGGTTGGAGGAATGCAAGCGAACCGGTGACATGGTAGCACTGAAAGGAACCTGAAAGTGGAAGACACAAATTATTAAACAACAGCAGTGCACTGTTTCACCTGCTCCTACATAGAAAAGTCTCTCCCATTCTTCAAAATAATAGATCCCTCTCTGATGACACACTCGGAGACACTGAGTACTCATTTATTTTGTAGGTGATTGGGGTGGAAAGAGAGAGTCTCATTTCCCATAGTTGTTTTAGGACTGCTGTGGACTCCCCGGTGTTTCACTGTTACAGAGAGAGATGACTACAGAATGACAGAGAGAAAAGGCAGAATCCCAGATAAGCTTCAACTCTGAACCCACCATTGTACCTAAAAAATAACTGGCAGAAAACAGCAGTCTGAACTGTGCGGTAGCTGACCTTCTCCTACAAAGTCTGGGCTACCATGCTCACTTCTTTGAGCCTGGAGCAGGATCTTACTAAACACGTTAAAATTCAAGAGATGCATGTACCAAAAGATTCACCTGCTCTGGGGCCATTAGATAAAACACAAACCACTCTTAATAGTAAATACGATAATGGCTTAAAGAGACTCCTAATTATTTTTGAAAGTGATTTATCAAAATATATATTAGTAAATGAAATATATATTACATAAATCTCTATAGTTTACCTTTATATGTTACACACAACTCTGTTACATATATGAACATGGCTTATGAACTGGCCAATAGTAAAAAGCATTAAGTAGAACAAGTCATATTACTAAAGATTTTCCCAAGTGGCTACAGGCACTTCCCTGCTCAGCCTGGAGCTGGACTAGGCTTGTGATGGGTGGATGCAAACCACCTTTTCCTCCCCTGGATGAAGGGCTTTCCTGAGCTTTACAAATGCCATCAGGCAAACATTCTTGGAAAATGAAAGTACCAATTTTTCTTGCAAATCAGATCACTAGAAACATCTCCCTAACTCTTACTGCATAGTTGTTCATGCAATTATCTTCAAGAACCAGACTCTTAGACTCCACCACAAGTTGAATTTTGTATAATTGAAAGGATAATTCACACCTCCATCTAGCAGGAACTATGCCATGGGAAGAAGAAACAAATACCCTGCCTGATGGATATGTATGTCAGAACCACTTCTTTTTTTTTATTTAATTTTTTTGTTTTAAACCTCCTAACAGATTTGGTGAGAGAAAGTGGGTAGAGGGATAGGACACTTTCTCTCTGTGGATATGGGGGACAGATGGAAGAGACAGAAAGAACCAAAAAATCTGGCCTGAGCTGCAGTTTGAGGGCAGTTGAGACAGAAGGTCCTTCTGATGTCCTACTGCCATGGCAGGGAGTTGTTTATCTCAAAAGATATTCAAGGGTTACTGGGGAAGGAAGTAAGTATTAAGTTTTCCCCTAAATTCAGCTAAGTTAAGCATGTTAATATATGTCATCCAAAGCATTTGGTATGTGCAGTTATCAAAATAACTGTACATCATCGTCTGTGGGGAACTTGCCACACTGGGCTGGGAGAGGTCAGCAGCTTGTTTGTCTCACCAGGCTCTGTGTTTCTGGCTATTCTAGATTTGAGATACAGGAGTGGCAAATAAGCCAACTGAGAAAATGGAGTGCTGGGGGTTAATAATTTGTTGGAATCCTGAACAGGTAGCTTTATGATAACAATAACAGGTCATTTTAGGACACTTACAAAGGAGCGGGATTTATGTGGAAGAATGCTTGTAGATAGATAAAGAAAATTCTGACTTTCACTGTGGTGGTGCTAAATCTAGAAAGAACGGTTACTCCATAGTCCTACAAGAGGGCCACAGAGAATCCACGGGAAGGTTGGTGGGGATTGGGAGGTCATGGGGAGACACTGTGAGTTGAAAAAATAGGTTTTCAGGGAGTTTTCAGAATTAAGGATTTTGTTTCCTGATACAAGGAACTAGAAAAGCATTAAGAAAAAGAAATGTGGGTGTTTGGTGATGGGAAATTTAATGTGTCACGGATCATGGAAAAGGTTTTATCTGCACTTTGGTGGCCACAACACTCCAAGAACTCCTACGGCTTAGAAGAGGAGTCTCTTCCTTGAGTGGCTGGAGAGGGGTCCTGGGAGTTGGGGGACAGGCTGCACACGGGGTCATGCTGTTGTGAAAACCCAGGGAGTCCAGGAAGGACCCAGACTTGTCCTTGAGATAAATTGTTATCTCTCTATTAAATGTTTGAATCGGATGCTGAGAAGAGAAACACAAGTTACAAATCTATATTTGGAACATAATGGAAGCTTAAATTGGCTATTAAAACAGTAAAAGTGGTTATGTATATTACCCACAGGGAAGAGGACTTGGAATACTCCACCCAAACTGAAATCAAATAGTTCCCTGGGAAATTGAGAACAAATTTTCATATATTCCTGGCTGAAAATGTTTATATTGATATCTTTTTTGTTAAAAGAAGTATGTGGAATGGGTCATTTTAATTGAGGAATTCATGAAATGAAATTGAGAACACAAACTAGGATGTATTAATCTAACTCTAATTGAATATCTCTTCAGCCTGGGGACTTATTTACTCAGTTTTTAACTCATCAATTTGGGTATTATGGGATTAAAAATTTAAATAGTTAACTAGTTTCTCTGTCAGTGATGGTTGGAGTGGGAGCTGCCTACAGCACTCCATGTTTATACCTTGAGCACCCTCAACGCTGGATTCAGGCTTTCTACTCTGAAGTCCTATGACAGGGAGGAAGCCTGATTCTGGAATATTCTGGTACCAGTAGCTGTAGTTTGGAATGGGGATGTTAGTAGATGCTCTTAATACCTGTCTATGAAGAAGTCAAAAGAGAAATGAGTTGACAATGGAACTGCTGGCACTGAAATCCAGCAATGGCAGACATGAAAGAAACACACACAGTATGTCTATGATATACACCAAGCTTATAGGACTTATGGAGCCAGCATGGAAAGTCTCTTGCTGTTGCTACTTTCCACTATGTGTACAGGGATCCCTTGGGGGTACTGATTACTTTGGGACCCTCAGCGTCCTTCCATGGGGAGGAGCCAGTGTTTCTCTTTTTCCAACCTCCTGTTCTGGTGGGTCTGGCTGATGTTGCAAGTTGGCCATTCTGAGTGCTCATGCTTAAGGATCAACAAGAATAAATGTTTGCAACATGTCCTTGGGTATACTTTTCTTTGGGAGTAATCTCTGTTGCCTCAGACTTTTGAGTTGTAGAGGAAAATGAGTGACTAGGAATTATTTGGAAGGATTCCAGGTAAAAGGTACGTGGCAGGATAGCATAGGCTCAAAATGCGTGGGATAACGTTAGTGTCGTGAATAGAAAGGACTGTGAATTAAGGGGAACCACAGCACTATGAGAAATAGGGGAGCTGGGTCACCAGCCTCAGGTCACTGGAATGTGGAGAAGGGGCCGAGGGAGCCAGCTGAGGGTCCTGCTAGATGTTGCTATGTTTTGATATGGAGTCAAAGCTATAGATCCTAAAGTAGCCATTCCTCCTAGTTATTCCTGAATACAGAATTAAATGTCAGTAGCTTTTCTCATTATATGCATCTAAGTTATTTTTGTAACTTCTGTAGTCACAGCTATTCTGGGAGGTGCGCATAAATGATTTCTTCTTTAATAAGCTTTTTCTTTTCTACACCTAATTTTTAAAATATAAACCCATTACATTCAAATAGGTACTAATCCCGGTTGTATTACATTCACTGTACACACTTGCAATTTTAAAAATAAACACAGGAAAAACATAATCACTTCCCTACATGTCATCTCAGATGTACATTACTTAAGGAAGGAAATACTAGTATTTTCATGAAATGATTGACCTTTCCTTTTCATACTGGGGGATGTTAATAATAATCACTTGGACTCTCTAATAATCATTTGGATTTCTTAATTTTATAAAAGAAAAATTACACTTAAGAATTATGTTGAACCTTACAAAGAAAGACTTAAAAA